AAAAAAGTATCTCAATAATAAAATGTTTGTATTGCATTTCTGGTTATGTGAATCATTTCACACACAAGCCTCAGGTGTTACCCAGCATGCACCTGTGAGCCGCACTCTCTCTCTTTCAGTAACCGAAATAACTGTCTGTTGAGCAGGAGTTGTGTAGGTGTTGATAAGTATTTGCTTTATTCACGAGTCGTTGAAGCCGTTTGCTGGAACGAGAGCTGTGAGGGGTTTGTTTGTGTTTATTGTTCTCTTTATTTCAGTAAAGTGTGGATCATATTCCTCCGGCTCCAGCTACATCTGCTTCACATGTATCAGAAAACATAATGTTTTCACTATATGGAAGCATTTGTGGCCAGAGATCAGATCGGAGAAGACAGTTTTGGCTTTAGGTTCCCTGTAAGAGGTTGTAATTGTACCATTGAACACCATTCATTCATAGAAGCATCTGCATTGAGTCATTAGCTAATTATAGTGTCTAATTAAGTGTGATCACTTCTTAATACATGTTTCAGCGTAATGATCCTGGTAATTGGCTTCATTTTCTTTTATATTTTAATATAATATAATATAATATTTCAGTAATAATAATAAGATTTTTTCACATTATGATAATGAGAATTTGGGTGAAAATGTGATTAATTGCCATAAATAATGTCACAATGCAAAAATGGTAATGATACTAGTAATGTTTTAATATAAAATTTCTTAATATAATATGTAATATAATTTGTTTCTCTATATAATATAGAAATGACATTGAGATTTTCATATTTGAATACAGTTTTTATTTAATATTTTTATATTTTAACTTCTAATTTTCTTACTTTTTATTTTTGGGGTGAAAAATAACTCTTGCATTTCTCTTCTCTTGCACACACAACACAGTATTTCTAAATAAATAAATAAAATAATAAATTATTTTTTAATCAATTATTTAGAGATGCTTTTGATTGTTAAATTAATTATTTAATGATTATTTAATAAAACCATTCAAATGGAATCCAGAAAACGAATGGAAAGCAGAATTTGGTAAAAATAAAACTGAATTTGCGGGAAAAAATAAAATGTATTTCATAGGGTTTTAAAAATAAAATTTTTGTTCAACTTTAAATAAATTGCTGTTAAATTGTGTAAGTTTCATGATTTCAATTAATTAGACATGCTTTTTGATTAATAAAATGTAATTTAACCATTAAAACAGAGTCTAGAAAAATGAAAACGGAAAAAATTTAATGGAATTTGAGAAAAAATTAAACTGAGAGCCAGACCTTCATTACAGGATCGTTTCTCATACTTTCATTCTGAGCCACACGGTACATCGACCATATAAACACAAGCAATTCACAGCGTCTTTACCTTAAAGTATTCAGTTTGTTGACATTCAAAAAGACATGAAATGCAATCAAACACAGTTGAAATAAATCAAATGATCCCGAATGCATTTCAAATAGGAATAGTCGTCATTTTCATCAAACTGACCATGTGACCTTGTCTGATGTGTTTATATATGTGCATCGATAAGGAAACGCAGCATAATTTTACATTAGATAGAGGAAGACGTCGACTCGCTAGTTGACAGGAAACCTCTGCCACTCGTTTCCTGTCTTTGGAGGCAGATAAACACGAACCCAGAGCAGCAGATATCAGGCCTTGAACAGGATGTTTAGACTAAATACAGACACACAAACACCAGTGGAAATGTGAGCTTGAGTTAGAAATTCAGCAGAGAGAATAAGACGTTCACTCATCATGACCTGCTGGAAACACTCTTCGAATAGTCTCATGTTTATGTGAATTAATTCTTTTTTCTTATTAGCATATTGTGTGTAATTACAGCTATTGAAGTTTAGGGTCTTCAGAGACCGCCAGCTATGTTTTCTCTGACACTTCAGCTATTTATAGCTCTACTGAGTCTGATTTGGCTGATTAGTATGTAAACGGCAATAGTCTTTAGTCACATTGTGAAGTGATTTTAGTTCAGATTATATACGTTTTCTTAATGCACAGTTATTTATACTCTCTATTTTCTGTAATGGCCTCATGAAGTGGTTTATAGCAAATAGTTTGTTTTTGAATGAATGAATGATGAATTATTAATACGTAGATCATGGAAACTGGAAATGAGTCATGTTGGGTTGGTGTAATTGTCCAGATGTCAACTCAGGGTGGTTTATAAATACAAGAAGCTTTTTATTCAAGTGTGAGTGCAGTCTCAGTAAATGTGGAAAATGAGAACATATTTTATTTTAAAATAAGCTGTTTTAGGTCAGCTTTGTGTGTCATGTCAACTGTAGTTTGGCTTTGTGGTACACAGCAATGTCGTAACTGGACCATTCATACACTACCGTTCAAAGGTTTGCTGTTCACGAAGGCTGTATTTATTTAATTAAAAGGAACAGGAATATTGTGAAATACTATTGCAGATCAAAGTAGCTGTTTTCTGTGTGAATGTATCTTAAACTGTAATTTATTTCTGTGATCAAAGCTGAATTTACTCCAGTCTTCAGTGTCACATGATCTTCAGAAATCAGTCTAATATGCTGATTTGCTGCTTAAGAAACATTTCTGATTATTATCAATGTTGAAAACAGTTGTGCTAATACTGAAGCTAATATAATAAATAATAATAAATCTATAAATAAAGCTAATAATAATAAATCATTTTAACATTTTTAGACGAAAAACTACAAATTAAATCATAAAAATTTAACATTCACTTTTTATTATGTTTGTTGACATTCAAAAGGATGTGAAGCAATGTAATTTATTCATTGATCAATTTAAAAGTATTTTTGCAAAATACTGAAACTACATTTTGAGATGAAAATCTAATATTTAAATCATTTTAACATTATAAGATGAAAAATTAATAATTAATTCAATAATAAAATGTAACAATCACTTGTTGACATTTAAATGGATGTGAAACACAATTTCATTATACTGAAACAAATGTCATTATACTGTCATTTTTGATCAGCTTCAATTTTGGCATCATACTGTAACAACTTTTTGAGATGAAAAGCTAATAGTTGATTAACTAATAAAAAATTTAACGATAAAATAATAATAAAACACTTATTAAATAGCTGAAATGTTTATTAGTTTACCTGCTTGTCATTTAACCATTATCTGACATCACAGAACTGTGAAAATGTGAATGTTTTTAAATATTTTAAATACTGATTTGAAATCACAGAGGGTTCTAAATATTTTAGGTCAAAGAGGTTTGGCTGACAAAAAAAAAAACATTTGCAAATCAAGTCTATAGTCTTGTCAGAACTACAACCGAGAAAATCTCTCCAGAGTTTTTGATTTGATATAATTTTTCACACGGTTTCCTCATCTGAGAAGTATCTGAGCAGTTGAGCCAAACCCGTAAGTCACGGGACGGATCACAGTCTAAGAGACCTGATTTCATTTGCGGTGTTGTATGTCCTTATTTAAGATAGCTAAGTAAAGGTGTGTGTGTGTGTTGAAGTGCAGTATATAGTGTGTTGTGTGTCCAGTTCACTGTTTGACCAGCTGTGAGAAACACTGAGCAAACAGACGATCATCTAATGATCAACAGACAGGGAAGAGAAACAGGGAGGAGTGGTGTGTGAGATGGAGGAGCGTGTGGGAGAATCAGAGATTTGTGTGTGTGTTTGTGTGATCTCTGCATCTGCGCAGACGCTCCTGCTCACTAACGGTAGGCTAGCGCTCTGTTTCTCAGTTACTCATGATAAATCCAGACAGATGAATGAATGATGGCTGGGTGTAGACGGCGTTCAGTGTCAATCTTGTGATATATGAGTGTCATATGGGATCTCGTGGGATTTTATTGGCCTGTAGATGTGCAGACGGGAGTGTCGTGTGATTTGTGATTTGAACAGTTACTGAACTCTGATCAGCTGTGGGCTGCGGTGATGGTGCAACTTTAGATGCTGGAGTTTTACTATAGTAACTGCATTTGCATAGAGACTGTGTGTGTGTGTGTGTGTGTGTGTGTGTGTGTGTTGTGACTGCTTTACACGAGACAGATGTTGGCTAATCTCTGCCGGTGGTTTATCTGGGATAGTCGGTCAAAGCATGACCACACTGTTCAGAAAGCAGGTCTATGTCAGGTTGTGTGTGTGTGTGTGTGTGTGTGTGTGTGTCAGGACATCTTCTTCACTATGGAAAGTTCCATCTCATGCCATTTTGACCCAGTCTCACGGCCTGTGTGTAAATAAAGCAACAGAAAACTAGATTTGTACATGTTCTGAAGAAAATGTCAGTGGGGTTTGCCATGATGACATGATGCCTCTGAAATATGAGTGATAAAAATAGTGTTGTGCTGAAGATATGTAGGCTACTTCTCAGATTTATTTTTCCCTCCACCTTACGAATAATTAGCTCTCCTTTTTTTAAACC